ACTTTATATTACCTACTATATCACACACACACACACACGTAGTATGTATAGTATGTGTGTGTGTGTATATGTATATATATATATATATATATATATATATATTGTTACTCTTGTGCTAAACCTTGTTGATTCTCTCAAACTGAAGAGAATACAAATTATCTCTCACTAGAATAGAACATCATAAAACTATTATAATTTATTTGATTTTCTGACTAAGGCAAATCTCAGCAAATTTTAGAAGGTTCTTATTTGTATTCTAGCCCGTATGAGAAGTTTGAGTTTTTGATTGTTTAAGCATTGTTGACTTTGTATGGGTAGAAGTAATAAAATGTGATTTGAACCACTTATTGTGCAGATGTGTCATGACATACAAGAGTGAGTACTGAGTAATTCTTTTTCAACGTTAAATTTTGAATTAAGACATTAAATTGTATATAATATTAAAATTTGGGTTATTAACAATGTTTATGCAAAGTTTATTGATACATAATAATGATAAAAGTAGTTTTATTAAATTTTGAATATAACTGTAAAAAGTTGTGACATGCACAGTTTGTACCCATGCACTTAGGGTTAACAGAGTATATAAAATATTACAGTTTATGCATAAAGGTATCTTAAAGGAAAGGGAAAGTGGAGCACCCTTATGCAATGTTGAAAATTCATCTCATAACTTAGTCATAAACGTAATTTTTTTGGCTGCTAAAACAAAAATGTAACTCCCAGAATTGGCAGCCTTGCTAAAAATGTAGTTGTATAAAATAAAGTAAGAAAACATTATTTTTCCCACTGCATGCAGGGGATCGCATGAGAAATGACATAAAATATATGTCTTATTTTGTTATTTGTACTGTTGTTCATTCTTCTATAAGCTGTCTACAAAGAGATAGTGTTCTCCTCCATAAACAATAATCATCTTTTCCTGGTCTGAACAACTACTTGTTGCAATCTTTAAATAAACTAATATGAGATTACAGTTAAAACATTATACAAAGCAGGAACAAACTTTTCTGATATTTTTGCTTTCTACATTAATTGTTTGGCCAGTTGATTTCTAGATTCGATCCTACAGTTCTCATTGGGGCAAGTTACTGTGATATTTCACCACAAATACATTATTTTGTGCCAATTAGGTATTGGAAGTTTGAGCCTATGAACGTACATGTTGTATGTCATACCAAACAACTTCTTTCAGAGAAGTCTGCATAGTTTATATGAAATTATAATAGATTACATAACCTGACTAAATGTTTTTATATTCCCTCCTTAGTTTATTTGGATCTGTTGGTGAGCTTTTAAAAAATTCTGCAACAAACTTTCTTGTCATTTTGTTTAATGCAGATAATATTCTTTTTCTGCCTAAAATTTAAGAAATTAACGATGAAAAGTTTTATGTTGTTTCTAGATGAGAAATTGGTAGACAGCAGTTTCCTAATTTCTATGTATTGAATTTATCTCAGTCACAGATATATATAAAAGTCTTGAATGTTTTAGAAATAAACCTCCAGTTAGAAGTGAATGCATTTGTATGACTTTTTTGTTATTGTTTTAGGATTGTGGTTTGATAAAGCACCAGAGAAATAAGTGTTCATAGGTTAGGTATGAAATTACTTGTTGCTGTGTTATCATGAAGAGAAATATTTGTACTTAGCATTATATAATTCTACAACGGAAAACATATCTTTATTAACAGATGATTGTTAAAGATTTGATATAAAGCTGTTGTAATGATGTTATACCCCACATGTTTCAGAAGTACATTGACAGGCAAATAATTCAGAACTGTAGAGATACATGAAAATAATTGTTGGTGATATGGAATGATGTGTTGTGGTACTATACTGTGATAGCATCATTGAATGCTTTTAAGATCATATCCTTTGAAATGTTTATTGATATTCGTCATATGCCAAAAATGTCAGTTGCAAAGATGTAGACAGTAACACTTCATTGCATACCACTGACAGATATTTTCTTATGCCTCTCTTTTTCTTAGACTTGTGTCAAATTGCAGCACAGTTATCTTCCTTTATACATCCTTTGTTCAAGAGGCAAGTTCCTTTCTTTTTTTTTTTTTTTTTAAATGTGAAGTCTACAACAACCCACTCTTGGTTACGAAAGGTTGTAAGTTTGAATTTAAGCCATTTTTATAGTGTTAAATAGAAAGTAAAATGATAATTATACTGCTTTAAAATTATTTCTGTGCTTATCTTAAACAGTTACTGTTCTGTTAAGAGATGGTTTTAAAGTGGTGTATATGTGTATCTACCTAGGGAAGAACCTATTCAAGTGATCTTATATGATACTTCTACTGAAGAAGATATTAACATCAATGAAAAGATAATAAACATAACAGCTAAAGAAGCAATTACTCCAAAGCTTCCTCAGGTGGGTTATGAGAAATATCCTTTTGATACTTCTATCAGTATTTAAAATCAGGACGTCAAGTTCACCACATAGAAGTTAGTTACCATAAGTGCATTAATCAAGACAGCACCATGGCAAATGCCCTCATTCATTCTAAAAAGATTTTTCCTCTTAAAGATGCACTTAATATTTAAGTGGGGTACAAGGCAAGCATCAGTACCAAAATGAGAAACATACAGTAGGTTTTTGTATCGATTAGATATTTTTGGTGAAATCATAGAATTAAGGCAACTTTTCAAATTAAATATGAGGTATAGATTTATTATGTTCTACATAAATGATCAACTTTCACAGAAAGTCAAAATCAAACAGTACTCATTTTAGTTATTTATATATATAATATAAAAATATTGCCTAATAATAGAAAAATACAGTAAAAGATTCCTAACAACTATGTTTTGAAATGGATATTCTTTAGTCTTCAAATAACGTTAAACTGAACTTATATTTTCTGTTCACTTGGCACAAAGAAGTATCTAAAATATGTCAAGCTATTGTAAGTTCAAAGTAACAAGCTTCACTGCCCCCTCCTCTACTAAAACAGGTAATAATCCAAATTAAAACTACACATGGTTTGACAGGATTCATGTTAGTTTGGGTTTTTTAGTCATATTTTGATGAATTATCATTATTTACATTAGCTCTTACAAATATTGAAATACACATTAGAAGTGGAAGCTCAATTTGTAATGTTACCTCTTTATAATATTCTTTGGCCCCAAGCATTGTACATGTACTTGGCACAATCAAACACCTGACTTACTGGATCACATATTACAGAAATCCACTAAATTTAGTCATAACTGATATCTCAAATTAGAGAAAATATTTGTATAACTAAATATTCTAGCTATTTATTAGCAGTTATATTTCTATAAAATCTTCATCTTTAAATTTATTCACAGAAAGAATAACAAATTAAATGGTAAAAAATTCTGTTTTTTTTTTTCATCTTACTTGACACATAGCATAGAATAACATCAGCTTTCCATGCACTATTATTTATTTTGAGGACTGTTTCATGAAGAAGAAACTAAAATGAATGAAGAAATGATTTTATGTGATAGCTAAAGAAGTAATCACTCCAAAACATCATTGGATAGGTTAGGAGATTTAACTTTTTGATTCTTTTATAAATAATACATTAACATCAATAAACATATTCTCAAGGGTGATAAGTTCTTTGCAAAAATGTTTATTCTTTGAGATGGATGGGAAAAATCAAGTGGGTTGTTTTCTTTACAGGCAAAACTGTCTGCAGCTGTGTAGAAATATGAACTTTTATTTTTCTTCAAGAATTACACTAAATAAATGTAAGAAAAGGACAAAATATAAATTCTAAAAATTTCTAAATTAAAATTTTTGAAATATAGTTCAAATTAACATATAGAATTGGCTTTAAAATTTGTCTGAAAAACAAAAGTAAATAGACAGTGTAAACCTTGTTTTTAGACTTCAATAATTTACAATAATTTATAATTAAGTTGCTTTCTAAATCCTAAACTTCTTAGCCAAAGTAAGAACCTAGTATTTTTGGGTATTCTTCAAATAGTCTGAATATAATATTATTGTGTTAACAAGTAACAAGAATGTTTAACTTCTCCATGTTAGCTTCAGTAATGTTTCATTTTTACAGTGATGGTATGATACCAGTTAATTTTTGAAGTTAGCTCCGTAACACTGTAATCAAATTTTCAGCATTTTTTAACATAAAAGAAGAGGCTTCCACTATAATATGGTATTTTGAATTAATCAGTGTTGGCCATATAGTCCTAAAGTAAACGAAATATGTCAAACAAAGTTAAAATAATGTTAATATATTCTATAAAAAATTAGCTCAGTTGGGCTATAATCCAGTGATTTCAGAACTTGTATCTTTAATGTAATTAATATGAAAATTCAGTTAAAAACAAATGTTTAGAATTTTCTAATTAAGATTTGAATACTTAGTTATTTATAATCATGTTTAGAATAAAAAAAAATGTAACATTGGTAAATGTGATGCCTGTTTCAAAATATTTTGTGAAAAGTTATTATTTACAATTGCAGCACTTTTTTTTCACTTATTTTAGACATCACCAATATAAAAAGCATATTTCTCACAAAAATTCTAACTTCTAAACAATGAAAAGTTGATTCAGTAACAAATATATGTTATAAGAGCTGCAGATGTCCTAAACAGTACTTACTTTGATGAAAACAAATCTCAAGTCTCTAGACACATGTTAGGGTGTCTGGAAAAACCAGGGCATGAGAAATTTTCCATGGCAACATTTAATTGTGTTAGCTTAGAAATAACCAGTTATTGACTGAGGTTTTAACTGGGTTGCTGTAGACTAGCTATGTTGATTTCATGAAAGCTCCCAATCAGAGAGAGAAACACTGACATCCAATGTTTCTTTTTTGATACTGTGTGGTAGTGTAAGGATATCTGGCTGTTTTTTGTTGTTGTTGTTTGTTTGTTTGTTTGTTTTGTTTTTCTGAATAAAATAGAAGTGGGGGGGAATTTGGAACTTTCCCACCTCAATCTGTGCATACTTGTACAAGCATAAAAAAAATACATTTATTAACTTCAGAAAAAAATTGATGGAGAGTGGACCGTTCCCATACATCCATGCCTGCTTGTAAAATATTAAAGAATACAGTTATGCAATTATAAATTAGAAACATAGCATGATGTAAAAAAAACAAGATTACACTTTATTTAACAATTTAGTAACCAAAGAGCTGCTACCTTCTAGCAATTCTGCACATAAATGAGCATTCTATCCATAGATTTGCCATTCACTCAACAAAACCAACACATCATGCCAGTACAAATATACAATCCAAATATCAGTCATGAAAATGCTGTTATTTTGGTAGAGTACACAACAGACCCATATTCAGTGCACCCACCTACACAACAGATCTGAAAGAAGCAATCCCTAAGTAATACAGGCATAATATTATATATATATATATATACACGTATATAAAGCAAACCAAAATATTGAAAATGAAACTTAACTAAAATTTTTACTGAAAACAAAATTTAAAATTATAATACTTAGCAAAATAAATCCAAATAAACTAAATGCACAATCATGCCAGTAATACATACACAAAACAGAACTGTTAAAGTTATACCATTTGTCAAGGAAGTACAAAAGATATAATTTTTTCATTTTTAAATGCTTCCAATAACGTTTAGGATTCCCCATCTGTCATACACAATCAAACAAACTTGGATGAGAAAGAGGATGGTTAGCAAGGAAAATCAAATAGGGCTAGGTATTGAATGCTATAATCCATAACTTCCATAAATCTACTACCACTCACCATCTTCAACAAGTTATGTTTATGGTAGTCATCTCTAAACACCAGTGTATAAGCTTATGAATTATTTAAAAAAAAAAAAACATTTTCTGACATAGAGACAGAAACTATGCATAATTCCAAAATAGGAGTATTTTGAACTATATATTTGTAATTGAGTATGTATCTTCATCACTAACAACCTCTAGCAGTTTAACAGCTTTGTTCAACTTTAATTACTTGAAGTATTGCACATTTTTCTAAAGTAGATTTAGAATATTCAAGTATGAAGAATATTTACACAAGTTAAAAGAGAAATGAATGAACAATTCCATATATCTTGTTACTTTCAAGATACTTTTCCAAATCATCTTATATGCAAATCAATAGCAGATGTAAATATGAAATGAAAAAAACAACTATATCATTATGTGATGTAATTTTTATAGTCAGTATATTGTAACATGGTTAGAAAAAGGTAGCATGTTTATATTTCTGTGTGTAGGGATGAATTATAATAAACTATATCAGCTACATAACATTAACTACATTAAATGATTGTATAACAAATTACTCCCAAGTGTTCATATTTTGGAATTTTTTTTTTTTGCAATGTAGGCTGGCCATATCACCAGAGCATTTCTTACCCATGTTTCCAAAGATGGAGACATTTTCATTCAGATTGCTGGACATGGTCTTACACTTTTACAGAGCTTGATGTCAGAGAGTAGCACTATGTTTAAAGTAGGTATTTTTTTTTTGTAGCTGTGCTTTTGCTTTTCTTCCCCATCTGTCATTAATGAATAGTATTTGGGAAAGAGAAGTTATTAATAATTATGAAAGTACAAAATATATATTATAGTTCATTTTTACATTCTAAATGTCTGTGAGATCCACAGTGGTAATTGAAGAACAGCTGCCAGTTACATTATTAACAAATAATGTAATTTTTAAGGGTTAGGCATTTTAAAATATTGATCAGATAAATTAAAAAAGAGAGCTTTTAACATTATTTTTTTTACAAGCACTTTTAATTTTATTTAACATCTGAATGTTTGATGTTATTCACAGAGAAAAATTCATAACTCAAAGGTAAAATTTTACGAGTATATTTTTATGACATTATTGTTTTCTTTTTTCTTTTGTTATTGTACTTGAAGTTTACAATTTCAAAGATGAGATTGGTGCAGATTATTACAACATTATTATTGTCTTTTTGTAATTATGCTTGACATTTTCAGTTTCAATGATCAAATTGATACAGATTGTTACAACATTTTCTTTTTGTAATTGTGCTTGATGTTTTCAGTTTCAGTAACCAGATTGATGCACATTGTTACAACATTATTTACTTTTTGTAATTGTATTTAATGTTTTTAGTTTTAATGATGAGATTGATGCATTATTACAGCATTCTGTTTTTGTCATTGTACTTTATGATTTCGGTTTCAGTGATCAGATTGCAGATTCTTACATTATTACTTTCTTTTTGTAATTGTGCTTGATTTTTCCAGTTTCAGTGATCAGATTGATATAAATTGTTACAATATTATTTTTGTAATTATGTTTGACATTTTCAGTTTCAATGATCAGATTGATAAATGTTGTGTTGTTTAAATGGGACTTTAGGCATAGTAAACATTCAGACCAGAAGAAGTCCTCAGTATAGAAGCCAAAACGTTGTCCTCATTTCACTTAACAGGCAGTTACAGTCCATTAAAGTTCTAAAACCTGATAAATGTTGTTATACATTATTAATATTTTCTTTTTGTAATTGTACCTGACATTTTTAGTTTCAATGATGAGATTGATACAATTTCTAGGAGAAAATTTAATTGTGGTGTAGAGGTATGTTTTGCAGCCCCAAAACACCAAGGTGACATTCCTTGGATTTGCATGTGGCCCATTCACATGCCTGTGTTTATCACAAACCGAATTAATTTGTGTATAAATCACAGATAGTTTAAAGATATTAAAAATCCACATCTACACCTTTCCATTATTGCATGCATGTAAATTAATTTTGTTTATTGTTGTTTTGCTAGGAAGCCATAGGTAGCATTGTGAAACCAGCAATGGACCAGATGTATTGTGTGAAATGCGACGCTGACAGTGCTTGGTATAGAGCTGTAGTAACTAGTTTAGCATCCAATACATCATCATCAGTAAGTTTTAAGAGTAACCACAAAATTGATTGAAATTAATTTTTCTTTAAACTTTTGATACTTGCTATACAATTAATGTTATTGATCTGAATGTGAACGTGAGCTATATTGATATTATTTCAAGTGTAGCAGTTAGTGACATATTAGTTGACTTTAATTTCTATTTTCACTTGAGAACTGTAAATAAGCAGTGATTAAGAAGAGGTGTCAGGGTTAGTTCCGTCTTATGTCGTTTTTTTTATGACTGGTACTTATCACACTCAGTATCAAACCTATTCATGAAATGGATTAACTTAACTAGTTATCTAATTAAATACAAATAAAGAGACAGAGTATATCAAAACATTCTTCATAAAATTGAACAATCAGATTTAGTAAAATTTATCCATGATGAAGTAGGTACTACACTAAAAATCATAAAATTGAATAGTCAAGTACAAGATAATCATAAGATGATCTGTGAATCTTTTCCTCTTGGCAGATTTTCAGGAAAGTTGTCAAGGCAGAAATTAGAACTAGCATGTTGCCATCAGAAACTCTATTGCAACTTTTATTTTTTAGGCTTATAAACTAACAATTTATTTCATATTGGTCTAAATTGTATCAAAGTCTCTAAAAATTATTTTTAACTCTTTTCACACAGGCTTGGCCAAATCAACTGAGTTTGTAACCATTTTGTACTCATTACAGTTTCCATACTATTAACTTTTAATACAAAAGTTTACACCAGATAGAAATTTCTGACCCAGGTACTCTCAAGGGTCAATACCAATCGAGTACCCGGTTACATGTCTGTTTACTTATTGTGAAAGATCAATTGGAAACTGAATGAGTTTTTTATCCTAGAGTTGGGCTGCCGATATTTGCAGTTTTGTAAATTTGGTAGAATTTGGAAAGCTAAAGCCACAGGGAATGAGATTAAATTAGAGTTACTTCATAAACAACGTTCTTACTATAGAATTGATCATGTCGTCCATATTTAGCAAGTTTGGACTACATGATCAATTCTAAACTAAAGGAAAAGTTCTATAAAAGATCATGAAACTGAAGTGAAGCATTCTTATTTACAGTATAGGCCTACTGCTTGCTGTACTGTCTGTTACACTCATTTTCTCCTGTGTGTTGCTTCCGAATTAACTGTTTTTGCATGACTTTATGATTTTTTCCATCCAAGAAACAAGCAAGGGTTTGCGGCTTACTAAGCAGTTGTAACTTGCAAATCATCTTACTGCTTATGTTAGTTATGTACTACAAACTACATCTATGGCTTAATGCACATTCAAAATACAGGTAATGTAGGCCTGGCCTGTGCTTTTGATGTACCTGGCCTAGCCTGTATGAATAAATAGTAGAAGACTTTTGTTCAGTGACTGTCATTACTTTGTTCTGATTTGTAGTGAATTATTGGGTTTTTAGCTTGTAGTCATGAGCAATAAGCAGCGAGGGAAAAAAAAAGCTCAGTCTGTTTGTATGCGCAGATTGATGTTTGTGTGAAAACTGAGATAGTTCTGCCCCCACCTGAAGAATCATTTTTGCAAAGTGAAGCTATTGAAATTAATACACAGTACACATTATACAGGACATGCAATCACATCAAACCAGGGATGTGTTAGAATTCCCAGGTCAAACATTCTCTGTATTTTCCTTAGTTTTTTCTGTAGTATCATAGTAGGTCATGTATTGTGCATGAGGTCATATTGTACGGAGAATAAACTGAAGGATGATGTGCAATATATTTGAACTTAGTGATGCATGCAGTGAACTTTTGGGCAATAAGAATTAAGAAAGAGGCATTGCAAAAAGGTTTTAAATTGGATAAAATGTGTGCATTGTCTAAAGAGCCTTGGGCAAAGCATTTGCTGAAGAAAACCATTAACCTTACATCTAGGCAAGCTACAGTCTTTAGGGCTACTGAGTAACTAGTAACTATTAGTTTCTGGTCTCAGTCCAACTGATCCACATATTCCTTGTGCTTTGGAGCCATAAAAAAAAAAAGATACAAATAATCTGCTCATTTCTTCTCGTACTGATTTATTGAAAATACAGTAATCCCTTGATAACTTGGAATTTGATACAACTCGGCATCCCTGAAAAATATTCAGGCTTTCTAACTATGTGAGAAGAGTCCTTACAAATTCTCCCAAGCAAATGGCTAACTTTCTCACGGGAAAATTTTGTTTATAGTAAGAGAAATATACGTATATCTGTTCAGAGTATGATGTAATACATCACATCATTTGATTTGATAGACACAAATATTGACTTTCTATTGGTTGTAGATGATATATAATTAAACGTAAGAGAGAATTATTAACGAATCCTGAAAAAGTATGTGATAGGTGGGGTCTGATTTCATATTTGATAGTTCTGTAACTGAACAAAATTGATGGCTATAAAAATTGTGGTTCGTCTGATCAATGATGATTTTATAGTGAGTAATTTATGTTGAATTTCGAGATTTTTAGGGAGGTGATGAATAAAATAGAGAGGAGAATATACCTTGAGAAAATGTTACATTTGTCATACTAGGGGAAATTCAGGATCTTTAAAAATATTGCTTTATAGAATTAAGAACTTAAAACGTATATACTATCAAAATATGGATTATTAGCTTAGATTTTGTTATACTACTTGCTATAACATAAACAAAAAGTAGTTTCATAAAATTTTAAATGTAAGTCACTAAAATCTTGTGTCGTGCAGTAAAGGATACCCGGGGCGACAGGGGTATAACTCACTACATTCCAAGTTGCTGAGCAGTGATAAAATTTCACATGGTACCCAAGCAGTCTCTCCTTCAGTTGAGCTTCGGTCAGTGTACTGTGCATTGTTCATTACTTGTTGCTGTGTATATTGCCTTATTTATCATTTATTGTGTTTTAAGTGTTGTTCAACCCTTAAAAATATGGCACAAAAAAGTTATAAAAAAAAGATTGAAGTTAATATCCATTAATTTTAAAGAAAAGATGGAAAGTTTTGGAGAAGGTGGATGCAGATGCATTCATGCGTAATGTGTGTGAGGAGTTTGGCATCAAAACAAGCACATTATATTAAGATAAGCAGGGACAAGTTTAAGGCACATGTTTTAAGTTTGGAGGATCCAAGCAGTTCAAATAAGACCCAAAAGAGGATAAAGCCTGCTAAATATCTCAACTTGGATCAAGCAGTGTACAAGTGGTACAAGCAGGAGTGTGCTTCTGGTGTTAAAGTACGAGGTGTGGACATTCAAAATGCTGCAACACAACTCGCAGAGCATCTGAACATTGAAGGCTTTACAGCAAGGCTGGCTGTTCAAGTTTTGCGCTCGTCACTGCTTTGTGAATCAAAGTTGCAGGAGAGTCAGCAAGCACCAATCATGACAGCATTAAGCGCTTCAGAAAGTGGCTAGAGAAGCTTATGGAAGATTTGCAACATGGGCCTCTTCTGGAAGGCTGTGCCTACCAACACACAGGCTGCTAGGCATGAGTCTCACATATCTGGTAGGAAGATGGCAAAGGATCGAATCTCTATTCTCTGTTGTGCGAATTTGGATGGCACCTACTGACTGCAACCAATGATTGTGGGCAAGGCAATAAACCAAGGCCACTCAAGAACATTATGAACAGCTTACAAGTGATTTACCGGGGGAATAAAACTGCCTGCTTTACTCAAGAGCTGTTCCACCATTGGTTCCACAGCCATTTTGTACCTGCTGTAATCAAGTACCAGGCAGATTTATAGGGTATTGCAAGAGACAAAGTAAAGGCCATCCTTCTGCTTGACAATGCTTCTGCCCATCCCTCTTTGGAGGAGCTTGAGGGTCATATCAAGGCCATGTTCATGCCTGCTAACATCTGTGCCTTGATTTAACCCATGGACAAGGGTGTCATCGAAGTCTGCAAGCGACACCACAGGAACAAGCATCTATAGAGTGCCTTATAGTGTTGGAAGATGTAAGTGACAAAGATAATGATACAAAGGAGGCTCACACTTTGGAAAACTGGGCAGAGGCATGTAAAAGCATGTATAAACCCTCAGTAATGCATGGAACAAACTCTTCAAAGACACTGAGGTTGTGGAAGACTTTGTTGGGTTTGGGACTGAGGACTTTGTGAATTTACTACACCAAGGTGGCGAGACGGGTGTCGGGGAACGACATTGTGGAATGGCTGGAGAAGGATAGCGATGAGCGGGGATTTTGTCATGATTCAGAGGAAGAGATGGCTGCAGAGAAGAGCCAAGTAATGACAGTGAAGATGAAGACCCTACTCCATAGCCCAAGTTATCAGATGTTTGGTTACACTTGGACAAGGCCTTGGGGGCAGTTGAGTGGTTGCCCGAGTTGGAACAGCACTATGCAACTATGAGAAATATCAGGGCAGATGTTATCAAGTGTCAGCACAGCAATTACAAACAGGGGAAATACCTGACTAGTTTAAACCCCTGTCAAAAAAAAACCCAGACAAAATCTTCCTTCCACCAGTAGTGAAGCTTCCATAGGGTCTGCCTGCAGCATCTGGATAGTCTTCCTCAGACACCAATTCCAGCAGTGCCAGTTTCCTTCTCATTACTCCAGAATCCCCACGACAGTTGATGTCTTCAGACAATGAATAATTTATTTAATAAAATAAATGTAAATAAATTAGTCTTTAATTTTTAAGTGAATGATTTATTGTTTAAGTGACCATTCAAAATGTATTTAAATTTTAATTGATAAAGTAGTGCTTAATCCTCTCCAGAAGGGTCATGAGTCAAAGCCCATGTCATTGTATTGAACTACTATTTCATG